GACCTGAAACTGGGCACCATCACGATACAATGCCCACACAACAGTTTGCTTGACCACCACAGCTTTACCAGAAGTCGGGAGAATTTCTGCCATGTGGGGTCAGACCTATTGATACTCACTAATGCCTAAGACGATGGGTTATCTAAATACAGCCCTCCACGCAGATCACGGGGGATTCATGAGTGCATCATATAACCAGCAAAACGCACGCCACGCTACCGATCCGTGCTACGGTCAGCACGCGCGCTAGCGATGTCGGCCAGTCAGAACAGCGCGCGGCCGCGCTGATGCCTCGGTTATCACAGCTCGTGGTGCGCGTTTTGGAATCAATGCGCTTGCCATCCCGAAGTGCGCCACCCACACAAAAGATTCCTCAGACACAGGCACATGTATATTTGAAGGGTGGTGATGTCAGTCCAGGCACGGTGAGCACTGCAGACGAGTCGGGCAATGCCCGGTATCCACTTATAAGAGAAGATATTCCCAAGCACGACGATGGCGACGTTAGACGGCAAACGTGGTGCTTCCTCTATGTTCAGGGCGCGGCGTGAAAAGCTTGAACATGGTCACTTGTAATCAGAACGCAGGAAAATGCTGTGAAATCGGATACGAGGCAAGGCGTTTACGGTTTTATCAATGTGCACTCATGACAAACCAGGCAACCACCACCGCGGCCGACTGATGAAACAGCAGTAATCTTGTGATGACTTTGAGTCCTTGGCCGCACGTGTATGAACGCGTCTTGGTATGCTTTTAAATCATTTTCCCATTCATAACAGCCCGTTCCGGCGCCATACGTCACTTTGATACATAACTCGTGCCCATGTCAGCAGACCTAAGCACCTCCTGACACAAATTCACTTGCGCCGGCCATGCAAATGCCACAGCAATATCACGCCACCCGCCCATTTAACAATCAGCAGCCATTCGTAATGCATTTGAGAAAACATAGTTCATGGCGACTACACAGCGTCTCCAATCAGAAAGAATCGGCAAGTGGACGAATATTACCAAATAGATGAGCAATAGCTACAGGAAACACAACAGCGGTCCGAATGATAATTTGTATGTCCTCCTGGGACTCCGCATTGCGGCGAAGCAATGACTTCAGGCTCGGCAAGCGCTCCGAGAGTGGCCATGACGCCACGCTTGCCGAACATGCCCCCGGCGCCGGCACCGACGCACCATCCAGAGGCGCTGCCAGAGTGCATCCCGACAGCAGTCCAGTCACCCCGGCACGACGGCCGCCCGCAGAGGTCAATCACAGCAGCTGCACATCGCAGGGACGAGGCCGATACCGGCAAGCACACCAGTCGTCCGCGACTGGGCCGCCAGGGTGTCACGGATGCTGCTCAGCCTGCCGCCGCCTCGACACGGTTCGCCCGCCATGCTCCCTCAGGGGAGGACGCGCCTCACCGCTCCGGAGCGCAGCGCGAGCACCTCGGCAGCCGCCGTGTTAGCAGCTCGGCGGCTCGGCCGCGTCAGCAGCTCGGCAGTGGTCGCGTCAGCAGCTCGGCAGCCGGACCGACCCGCACCGCGCATTGCCGGCAGCGCCGGTCGGCCCCCAGCCATCCGCCGCCGTCCGACATCGGCCCACATCAGCCCACATCGGCTGCCTCGACCGCAGCCTCTCCGGGCTCGGCGTCCGACGGCTGGGGCGGGACTGTCGCGTCCGGCACGAGCGGAGGGCCTCAGCTGGCCGACCCCAGCGCCGGGTGTCCGGGTCGAATGGCGCCGCGGCAGCATCACGTCTCGGTAGACTCTGAATGGTGGAGATGAGCAGGAGATTTCACACGACAGCATGACAGCACATCTGATTCAAAACATGCGCTGCAGAGGATTTTGTATGACAGCATCCTTGATTACTTAGACTTGAATGCCAGCCCAGAGCAGTTGATGGCAAGTGAAAACATCACGTATTATCCGTCTGTATGCGTTGCAACAGATCGCACAATTTCACATGACAAAATGACACGGCGTCCGCCTGGAAATGCTGGAACGGCACGAGTGGCCGTGCGACCGGGACTCATATTTCACTGCACACAATCCTCAGCGCGTTTGACCCATGCCCTTTAAATCCACTGAATTCACGAGCACTGCAGATATCCGGAACAGCGCTGGATAAGCAACGTTCGTTGCAAACGTGGCTGAGCAGCCGTGCTCTTCAACGTCCAGTTAGAGAGCGCCGTGGATGAGATTGCGGTTAAGAAATCCAGCAGCCCTAGTGCAGCGTCTGTTACATCAATATCATCGCCAAGCAATGAACGCGAATATGAAATACTGCAGCTGTTCGCCGGATGGTCGGCACGGAAAACGCGATGTGATTATGACGTCTGCGTGATCTGTGTCAGTACTTCACAGAAGGCGACGCCGTCGTCAAAAATCAATCATCACCAGGCCTTGGTTCCGTGTGGCTGGCATTAACACAGATGTGTGGGTTCTTGTTGCGGTGGCAAGTACCTCGCGAATTCTGCATCTCCTGGTGTGTCACGGATTATTCACGTGTGTTATGCAGGCTCACCGGATAAATAAGTAGAGATGAGAAGTGTGACGAGAAGTCCGATCAGTGTTATGCTGGGGTGGAGGCTTTGGTACCAAGCCCCGCTGCTGTATCGCCGAGACTCAAGAGCTGCAGGGTAACGCGGAGGTAAAGGTACACGTCAGCTCATCTCTGGGCAAAACCTCGTGTCAAGAGCTGCAGGGTAACGCGGAGGTAAAGATACACGTCAGCTCATCTCGGGCAAAACCTCGTGTCAAGAGCTGCAGGGTAACGCGGGGTAAGATACACGTCAGCTCATCTTGGGCAAAACCTCGTGTCAAGAGCTGCAGGGTAACGCGGAGGTAAGGTACACGTCAGCTCATCTCTGGGCAAAACCTCGTGTCAAGAGCTGCAGGGTAACGCGGGGTAACGATACACGGCAGCTCATCTGGGCAAAACCTCGTGTCAAGAGCTGCAGGGTAACGCGGGGGTAACGATACACGTCAGCTCATCTCTGGGCAAAACCTCGTGTCAAGAGCTGCAGGGTAACGCGGAGGTAAACGATACACGTCAGCTCATCTCTGGGCAAAACCTCGTGTCAAGAGCTGCAGGGTAACGCGGAGGTAACGATACACGTCAGCTCATCTCTGGGCAAAACCTCGTGTCAAGAGCTGCAGGGTAACGCGGAGGTAACGATACACGTCAGCTCATCTCTGGGCAAAACCTCGTGTCGCATCATCAAAAACATCACTGTAGCGTGAACAGCTCACATAAGGTCAGATATAACAGCAGCATGACCTCAGCAGTTCCATGAGGGGAACCACTTTCATGTGTCAATTTATCACCGCAGTGGAGCGTTGCAAAGTGCCGCACGTTATTGGATGCTGTTTGTATACTCGGCACATATCTGTGTATATTAAAGACCAGAAAGGTGGTGTTCGAGCCAGTCTAGTGGAAGAATGGTCACCTTACATAAAAAGCAGCCGAGCCCGCAATGCCTTGCAAGGTCGGGTCAGACGGTGGAGAAATCTAGTTGTGCGGACCACGGCAATCGCACAATAACGAAACACCGCGCCCAACAACATATAAAAAGTCCCAAGCACAGCACAGGAATGCTGGCAACGTGCGTCGAACGGCGAGGAGCGTGGACCCACGGCAGCCACGCCGTGTCCGGCCGCGCCACCCACCTTCTCCCTTGGCGAGCGTGGAGAAGTGGAACATGTCGGAGACGGCGCTCCAGCCGTGCCGGTTGCGCGCCTCCACGTGCAGGTCGTACAGGGTGGCGGGTGGCAGCTGGGTGAGCGGGATGGCCTGGCGGTGCACGGTGCCACCCACCACCTCGCTGCCGGTGGGTGGCACCAGCACCTGGCGCCAGGCCGGCGCCGGCTGCCCGGCCGTCACGTTGAACTGCGGCGTCAGCTGACGTCAGCGGCTGTGTCTCGGTGCTCGCCCGCGCCGTTCACAACACGCGACCATGTCCGAGGGAAACTCATTGTCGAGGCTTTTGGAGAAATACGTGCTGATGGCATGAACTGGGGGTGTGCGTGCGCGTGCAAATGAATGTCAGTAAGGCTGGTATGACGTAACTGGTGTGTGGCTTGAGCTGGCTTTCGGGTGTCGTATAATACTCGTGAGCGGGGAGCACCTGTCGATTTTGCCATCAGCAAGCCCGGTAATTTGTGGGTCCGCTTTCATTACCAAGCGCCGTAGCGGACGCTAACGGCCGCTAAATGAAGCGCTTGTAGGTAGGTCACGAGCCAGTCGCTATGATGTCGGACTTAATGCCACCGTGCCATTTATAAGCATTCGGAGAGCGGGAGCGGGCAAAATTACAGCGGCACGCCGCGGCCTGCGCCGGCCCCCGGCTGCAATTCCCCGCCCTGCCCGTATGCCGGCTCTCAAATAACAGCAACCCCTGGCAAAGCAAAGCTCTGCCGAAGATAAATGGCCCGGGTGCTGTTATGTTGAAAGAAGCCCGCCAAAGGAAAGCTGCTCAATTAAGCTGCGAAGCCAGAATACACGGAGTAGTCGGGGATTCACTGTGGTATATCGAGTCATTTACGGCGACAGCTACGCGTAGCTCCCCAGACAGTTAAGCTTTGTTTCCACAAAGAGCACACAACCACATATACACCACACACACAGGCTCACTCGAGGGATTCGAGGTAGAGCGTGCTGATTGCGAGTAAGCGCGTTCGCACGCGCGCTGTCGGAGCCTCCGCCACGGCGCGTCATCGCCAGCAGTCCCCGCCCCCGCCAGTACGGCCGGCGCCGCGTGCCCAACACGGCACGGGTCATGAGCAGTGAACTCCGTCAGTCACAAGTCACGTGATTATGCCCCCGGCGTGCCCCTCACTCGCTGTCATTCGCTCGCAGCCGCCGTGACGTCACGCGCGCCGGTCCGTGCCGGAGCCGCCGGCGACAAGGCCGGGGCGCGAGCCGTCTGACAGCCCGGGCGGGTCGTGTCGCGGCTGGCCCCGCCCTTTGGAGGGGTTCGACAGCTGGGGCACGTGGCTGGAATTTTGGTTGGCCGTGGCAGGCTGCTCTCGTGGCAGCGCGGTCCGGCAGGGGGCGCGTGTCCGCCGCGGATGTACGGGCGGCTAACTGTTCCGCAGGCACGCCGGCCGGGGCGTCGCCGCGTTAGTACAGGTTGTAGCTTGAGTGAACCCATGCCGATCGTACGAAACCGGGCGAAGGCGCTTCGACGGGGTGGCATGGTACGGCTCGGCACGGCGCTATCTGTCCTCGGACTCTGGTGGTAACCCGGTACTGGCGGCTAAGATCCAGACCGGCCGATGTACCGCGACCGCTCATGGTTACCTTGCTCTGTCGGTAGGCCACCCGGTACTCGAGGATCGGGCTGTAGCTGTGTACCTCCCAGGCCAGCTGGTACGAGTCGGGCGCCGTGCCCATCGAGCTGCTCGTCACATGGGCCCGCTCCGGGGTACCTGACGGTACCGGGGTCACGTGACAGTCACATCGGCCCGCTCCGGGGTACCTGACGGTGCCGGGGTCACGTGACAGTCACACAGTGTCTTTCTCTACAGTGTTACAATGGCACTTCTCATGGCCAGTATGGGTCACCTCATTTTGCACGATATCATAACGATCACTTGATCTTCACGCGTACCAATGCAAGAGCACTACTCTCAGCATCACAACAGGCAACTACTAGAATCACCGGGTCACGGAGACGTGAACAGTCCCGCTGCACCAGCAGTTGTCTGGCCCGTACACCCGGCTGACACGTGGAGTGGGGTCGGCCGGGGTTCGCACGCGCCCAGTGTCCCGGCACGTGCGCTCTCAGTGTCTCGGCACGTGCGCTCTCAGTGTCTCGGCACGCGCGCCCGTCGGCAGCGGTCCATCCGGCGGCCGGTGCCAGCGGGGCTTCGGCCGGGCTCAGATGGCCGACAGCCGAGCTCGGCCGCGGCCACCCAATCTCGGCGGCGGCGGCGCCCAGGCGCAAGTGCCTCTCACGCAAAGTTGGATGGGCACTCGGTTTCGTTCATGCAGATAGGCCGCGTCGTTTGGAGCGGGCTGTGCTGCCGCGCTTGAGTACCTGTGAGCACCATGCGGCCGCCGGCGCTGCCCAGCGCGTTGGCCGCCTGACACGAGTAGGTGCCGAAGTCGACCGGGCGCACCGGGCGGACGGTGAGCACGTGCCTCGTGCCGGCCAGCTGCCGCTCCGAGCTGAGGTGACGGCTCGGGTCCAGCGAGCCACCCTCGCGCGCCCAGCCCACCTGTCGCCAGCGACACGGCGTCACACACGGCTTGCCGCCACGTTTACGACAAATAAAATGAGATTCGGTCCCTTTGGAGGCAAAATGTCCCGTTGCATCAAGTAAATTCATCAGTGATGGGCTAAGCCTGACGACACTTTCGCGCAGCTGGTCTTGACCTATCCTGACAACTTCAGGGCAATCATGAGCACCAACCGGTTCGTGACCCCTGCTGACGGTACGCGCAATATCCGGAGCTGGACATGGCGTTCATATTAAACGCCACGGTAACTTGCGTGGATGCCAGCTAACACAGGGTTATTCTTGTAGCACCTCTGACCCAATTTCGAGCTTCAATGAAGACCTATGCTGTTTTAATTTATAGAGCACTCGAAACGGTGCATTTCACTTGAAATTCAGCTTACCTTGAGCATTACACACCATGCATTAAGCGTCCAGCAGTCGGCGAAACTCGACAAAATTCAGCCCAATGGATTCCGTTCGAACAACCACCGCTCCTAAATGCGTTGGCATTTGTGTTTTACTAAAAATAAAACAGAGGCTACCTCGACACGCAACGAGACAAAATATTTAATTATTTCAGCGATAGATATGACCCAGACACTATGGTATGCTGTTCCATTGTGGCAAGCTTGGGTACGACCAGAAATGGCCGGGCGCATCATTCATCAATTTCTTGAATGACAGAAACGTTTTCCCATAGTAAGTTGTTGGTACGAACATACCTTGCTTATTGATTGGACCATTCGAAAGTGAACTAAAGCTATTGGGTTCTCCGAATGCCGGCCATCGTGCTATCTCTCCTGAATGTTGGCACATTGTGCTCTCTCATGGACGCACCTCTGCTGGGGGGTCGGCGAAGACGAAGCAGACGAGTTGGGCTTCGAACCCCTCTCCCGAGTAGACGACGCTCTTCTCCACCTCGACCTCGGGCGGATCTGCAACGGTCAACAGTTAGCGCTCCGCCGTCAGGGTGCGTGCGGCAAGGGGCTGACGGTGGCCGACGCTGACCCCGGTGCTGGGGCTGACGGCGGTCGGGTTCTCACACCGCCGCTGGGGCCGACGGCGGTCGGGTTCTCACACCGCCGCTGGGGCTGACGGCGGTCGGGTTCTCACACCGCTGCTGGGCTGACGGCGGTCGGGTTCTCACACCGCTGCTAGGGCTGACGGCGGTCGGGTTCTCACACCGCTGCTGGGGCTGACGGTGGTCGGGGTCTCACACCGGTGCTGGGGCTGACAGCGGTCGGGTTCTCACACCGGTGCTGGGGCTGACGGCGGTCGGGTTCTCACACCGCTGCTGGGGCTGACGGCGGTCGGGTTCTCACACCGGTGCTGGGGCTGACGGCGGTCGGGTGCTCACACCGGTGCTGGGGCTGACGGCGGTCGGGTACTCACACCGGTGCTGGGGCTGACAGTGGTCGGGTACTCACACTGGACCTGCAGGCTGACGGTGGCCGTCCCCGGCACCCCCAGACCGTTCTCGGCCACGCACTCGTACAGGCCTGCCATCTGACGGCTGACCTGGCCGATGGTGTACACGCGGCCCTCGTGGCGCGTCTCGCCCGACGGCAGCGGGCCAGCCTGTCGAACACGTCACGCAGCGGTGTTCACGGGTCACCGGGCTGACGCGCGGCCCACAGCACAGATCGGAGCACCGACTCGGGGTCTGTGACCGACAGCTCAGCAGCACAGACCTGCACGCTGTGGGCATACGACCCATAGCCAATGGAAGTGCGTGCCTGGATGTGACAGGACATGCCAGCCTGCTTCCAGCGTAGCCTCGCCAACCGGGTGTAAAGAGCATCCGAGAATAATGAGCATCGCTGCATTAGGGAACGAGATTGTGCGGGTCTGGGAAGAGACAGCTGGGCGGTACTGACAGCTTAGCGCCCTTCCCCGCGTCCGCAGTCAGCACCCCGGTGCCCGGAGCGAGCGCCTCACCTGCTTCCTCCAGGCGACCTTGGGCGGGGGATTGCCGGAGGCGTTGCAGCTGAAGTGTGCCTGCTCTCCGCGCGTGACGACCAGCACGCCGCCGGCCGGCTGGACCGACACTACAGGCCGGTCTGCGGCAGACAGCGGCGGCGTCACGGCCCGGCTCGAGCGGCATTGTGTGCCAGATGAGGTGCCGCCGCCCCGGCAGCTCCAGACGCCGCCCGGCGCCGTATTGCGCCCGGCCGGGGAGATGGATGGCCACATGTCTCCCGTCGCCGCTCGGTGCGGCTCTGAATGCTCCTCGCCTCCTCGTACAGGAGCGTGTTTATATCGCTGGCATCCCGGCGGGGCCATATCACAGCGGCTTACACGGAGTGGCGAATACATACTCATGTTAGGATTTCCACTACTGTAAGGTGAGATTTGCCAACGTCAACCCGCCAGCGTCTGTCCGTGCTCGCATCTCCGAGGGGCCTCACGACGCAGGCAGGGGGCAAGGACAGACGGGGCACGGACAGGGCAGGGGGAGTGGCACAAGGCCCACATGTTCCCTCATGTCCCGAAACCCCGGCCTAAAACAAAAATCATCGTCATCATCATTTTAAGAGCCCAAAGGCCCCGAAGAGCTGGCCGGATGTTGCATTAAGGGGCCCCGGCCACGCCAATCAGAGGGCCATCTGCGCCAATCCGGGCCCAATGAGTCGATGAGAGCCTCTATGTCGGCCAGACATCACCAGCGCCGAACGGCCGGCTCCATGTCGGTTTGGCCCTCGGGGCTCATTTCCCCAGCAGGTACAAGGACGGTGCCCGATCAAGGGGGCAAGGGGGCCCGGGCCCCTGGATCAATGAGGGTTCTCTGTGTTGGTTGGAACTCACAGTGCCTAACAAGAGGTTGTGAATTGGTAAAGCGACTAGAGTCGGCCAGGGGTCTATTTTCTGAACAGTGGCAGGGACGAAACCACGAATACCAGAGGGCCCCTTTCGTTAGACGAAGGGCCCCTGGCTTCTGATAATGCACTGAGACATTGGAACTCAGATAAAAGAGTCTACAATGGGTAATCAAAGGGGCCTGCACCAGCTAGGGGCCTCCCGTCTAATTTCGGCCAGGGGCCCGATAAGTTGATCTGGAATCCCTCGGCCAATTATGCAGCAAATGTCAGTCAGAGAACATGTTGCGCCGATCGGGGCCCCTTGAGCCGATGAGGCTCTCTATGTCGTTCAGGCACGACAAGCACCAAGCAGTCGGCTCTGTGTCGATCTGAGCCTTGGAGCCCATTTCCCAAGTTAAGTCAAGGCTCGAGCCTCGATCTGGATTGGTTAGAGCCCCAGAAACAACGAGGGCCCTTGTGTCGGTTATGGGCCCCTGGTGCCAAACATCGGGCCTCCGACGGTAAGGTGCCCCTTGTCGGTCAGGGGAACGTGTTCTGAACGGGAATGCCAGCAGGAATCTTGCGTTGGTCGGGCCCACTGGCAAAGAAAATAGATGAGTTCTTACAATGAGAGTTCACAATGAGAGAGTGGAAGGGACCTGTGCCAGTCAGGGCTGCAATGCCAAACGAGGAGCGGGGGAGGGGGGGGGGGGGGGCTCTACCTCATTTCTCCGGTTCGGCTCGTTAAGCCGAACAGGGGAATGTGACCATCACTGCAATCTCTGCGGTGATAGGGATCTTGCTGCATCTTGCTACATCCTTTACGCCGATCCGGGGCCAACTGCTTGGGTCAGAGAGCCTCCCGCGTCAGGACGAGACTGATGTATAATGTCTCCCTCCAGGGCACTCCGTATCGACCAGGGGACATACCCCCAAATCGCCAGAATGGCAGCCGATAGGCACCCGACGCCGGGACAGAATGACGCCTCATGCCCCGATTGGAAGAAAGTAGCGTGCCCCTTTGTGCTCTAGAGCTTTGCCAGGAAAAGGTGAGGGATCCCGTTAGTGTTTAATGGGGTAGACCGAATGAGGTCTTTTATCTGTAAAAAACAAAAACAAATGGAGCGCCACGCGCATCGTCTCGCCCTTTAATGGAGCACCAGCCACTGTATTGGTCAAGCTAGCACTCAGGGGCCATAGCGCAAAAACTGAAGGCCAACCGCTGTTTGTCTGAGGAAGACCATCCATTGCCAGAATCGACTTGTGGAAACTTCTTTTTCAAATTAGTCCTGTGTGTTTGCATTGCCAGGCACATGAACACCCATGGCCAGGGAAGCAGTCCGCGTCACGCTGGCGGCACTAGTCGCTGCAGCTAGCACCAGGCGGCGGGAGCCGGGCGTGCGAGAACGACCGTCCTCAAATAATTATTTCGAAAGTCTGTCGTAATAAATTCACACCTTTCAAATATCGGCCTGGTGATATATTTCCTCTGTGTTATATTGAGAAGGTCCTCTGAACACATAAACAGTAAAAGAAACACGAAAACTCGACACTCTGGCTTTATCTTTGCAGTTTTCACCACTCGATTCTAGTACCACTACGCAGTGCCGAAAGTGCTTATTCGTTCCCGTCGCCTTAAAAATCGCAGAGGTGCAAAGATATGCGGCCCGGGCTACCTTTCAAACGTGGGAACTCATGTCATGAATCGTTCAAATGTATTTCTTACGTCATCGTTTTCGTCCGCCCATTAACCCACACCCAGTGTTAGCCGCAGGACCGATGCGGCGCGATCCATGGACGTTACAGCGCTGGGCGTCGCGGTTCGCTTTTTTTAAGATTGCGAGCACGCATGCTCAAAACTATGCGATGTAGTTTTTCACCACACGATTGTGCATGAAGGTTGAAGATCTCAGACGAACATGGGCTGGCCACGTCAATACAAAATTTGACTCATTTCGATTTGCACCCAAGCTCACGGAGCCTTCAATATCCCTGAGAACCTCGAACAATGCCGTCAAAGCCCCTGGGTGCTATCAGCCTAGAAAGAGTCTACTGAACCATTGCAAAATAGAAGCGCCAGTGGTTTATTAAATGGTTTATTAAACGCAATTATTTATGCCTAGTTCCTTCCGTTCATTGACTTCAAAACAAAAACAGAATCGCATTTTCCGGCGGTTTCTGGATTATGTTTCAGTCAAAGCGGTTTCAGCTCAGTTAAATTTCAGTTCAGTTTCACCGGAGCGCCGTCCTGAAGGCTCAGTTGGTTAGAGCGTGTTCCTTCCGACCCACCCACCCGTGGCAGGGTGGGTTAGAGTCGCTTTAGGCGCTTGCTATTTGCTCGTGACTGGGATGGTCGGCGGCCGTTGGCAACCAACGTGCTCTAAAGATAGAGGTGACCTCAGAAGGCAGGGCGGAACGTGACAAGGAGAGTGGCACGTTGAGCTTGCGCCACCAAATTATGCTGTTTACCTGAAATTTCACGATCGGGTGTAAGGACCCAGGACGCACCCAACAACCACGGCTTGGCGTGCGGTCTGATCCCAGAACCTATCCGTTCAAAAGGTTCGCACCAAATTTAAAAAAAAAATGTTAGAACTAAAAATGAAGAAAATCGTGCCCGTAGAAATGAAGTGAGCAACATATAACACTTCTTTGTTTTTGAGGGATTCTTTCACCAGCAGGGAACCCTTTTCCAACCACGTACCCTTGCTCACCAAGAGTGTGACTGTGCCCTAGAGCGGTACTCACAGAGCACCTCGAGCCGGTGCGTGAGCTCCGTGAGCGGCTCCGTGTCCAGGGAGCAGGTGTAGGACGACTGGTCGCTGGGGCGCACGCCGTCGATGCGCAGGTTGTAGCCGTCCTGGAGGCTGTAGCGTGGGTCCCGCGCCACGATCGCCTCCCGCGCGCTGATGACGCGCCGCTCGCGCTTCCACACCACTATGTACGGACCTAGGAGTACACCAGCCGGCGCTGATCACGCCGCGTATTGTGCCAGCCCCGCCAGATCCGGCTGGTTGCAGAGCTTACAACGACAAGTGATAGCAGCCAGGGTGAAAGTGAACTACTTTAGCCGCGATGACCCCTGAAGCATCGATGTTTCTGAAAAGTCCATACAAATACAGCCTTTGTATCGCGCCCAGTCAGGAGCATACACACATTGCCCTCGGGTAGGGGGGGGGGGGGGAGAGGGAGAACGTACCCCACCGCACCAAATTTGCTACATGTATTTATACGCGTGCGACTAAATATCAGCACTATTTAATTCGGGGTAGAAACGTGGAACTATACACTGGCAGGCCAAGAAAACGAGATGTTACCTTATCGCATGCCACACATGTTGTGCGTCTGCAGCGCGCTTAATTTGGTTTTCGGTGAAAAGCATCGATTTGAGCCCACCAATCACGAACTCGTGCTTATACCCATGCACAGTCAGCAAGGTGTGGTCACTGACAATGACTTTGACGCGGATGAAAGGTTGAAGAAACAGTCAGTTTTCTTTTAATGCTGTGCACTTTTTATAAAAGTTGCATACTTAAACGTTTTCGCTCTACACCACGCCTCTAAAGTCCCTGCTGAATTCCGGCAGCTTGGGACATTTGTCCCCTCGTCCCTGCGTCTCCGCGGCGCGGCCGACAAACTGTCGCAGCTCAGGAGCCCTCCGTACTTGCCCACGAGCCGAGCTGCACCAACCTTTGTGATTGATGGCGCAGGGGAGCACGATGGTCTCTCCCTGTTTGGCCTGAAACGTCGCCGCGGGCGTGCTGAAACTCGGCTGTGGGTGTACGCCGCCGGCGGGGCTTCCTGTAACGAATGGCGGCAGTTAATCATATGGCTACGTTCGTATGTTTCAGTTCCTTGAACAGCCCCCCGCCGCCTGTCAGTCATGAGTTACGGTCAAGAGACCAAGCTGGAGCGAGGCTGTCTGTCACTGTCTCCAGGATATGCATGCTTGGATTTTTATTAATCGTCGTATAATGTAGTGTTGCTTGGGTGTCTTAACATAGATGTGAATTGCGCCGATTTTTTATTGTGCAGGTAACCAAAACCTTTACCATGTTCTGGGCGATTGCGACGCCTGACACTACTCTTCTGACATGAAGCACAGCCCAACTAACCACGCCTTTCTAGGGGTCAGCCTATTCCCGCTCTGCTATCAGTGTTGAGGTGTTGATTGGTAGATACAGTTAATAAGCTTTGAAAAGGTCATGAGTTTCGGCGTTTGCAGCATTGCTCACAACAGTGGCTCACACTAGCTTTCTTAGCATCGACATTGTCGCCTTGATTAGACCGGAACAAAAATTAGTTGAGCTTGTCACTCCGACATGATATGAGTGTTGAGGGTCCGACCTGACGACCTGTCTTGGTGGAGGCGCCAGACGGACTGAGCGCGGAGGGGGGGGGGGGGGAGACACCTGATGCGACTGGTCCGCAGCCGTGGCACGGCTGCAGGTCGAAAACTCATGCATCGTAACGCGGACGTGGTGCGGCAATATCTGGCGCCTACGTGCGTCACCCCAGATTATTGCTCGCTTTCGACCGCTGCCAAGCCATGCCGGGTCTCGTGAATGGCCTTGGTCAATGCCGTGGTGGGTCAGCTGTCTACTGAGGGGGAATAGTGACGCTTAAGTTTTTGCCCGCGTCCAGGTCAGCATTATGGAAGCCATTGGCATGACAGACAACTCTCCAGAGGACAGTCGCGGTTCCCTTTTAAAAACCGTGTGACACGTACGATTAGATACACATCTTTTTCAAGCGTTCGTTGCATTCAAACCCGGACATGTCAACATTGCCACCTTTGCGGCGCGAGACATGCGTGTCTTTTTGGGGACGCACGACGCACTCAGCTGCTCAGGCTGGTGGTGTCGCCTGCCTTTCAGCCTCGCAGGAAGGGCAGGCACCGCAGGGAATCGGGCTCCGTACCTTTAGTTTCTCACTTACGCAGCTTAACCGCTGCACCACGGGTGTCTCTTGCGGCATGGGACAAACAGGGGAAGAGCTGACTAGTGGTTAATCTACTGCAGCAATATAGTCGGTATGAAAACTAACGTTAATGGACTCAGGACCTTTGGAAATAAATGTAAATGGGCTTGATTGATGCATTGTGAAATCCGCCTTCCCTGATGGTTTCGCATGCAGAAGCTGGCAGTGAAGGGACAATAGCACTCTTGCTACATGCAGCATTGCTTGAAAATGTGAGGTCTACGAGCCAGACCAGCCCCTGCAATGCCAGTCGACGAAACCATTATGAATGAAGAATGATCTGGGTGTTTGGGACTGCGCCCCACGTATTGTGACTGATGAATTCGGAGGGAATGGATATTGGTTACAGTGAACTAGGCTGAGCGTCTATAGACTGGGTGAGGTTTAATCCATTTCGGCTGAGCACCCGGCGTACGGTATGCGACACCTGGTATTAAGATGTAAGCATGTCTGTTTTTGGCCGATCGCCCGCGACGCACGCACTTCCCGTGTTGTTGAGTCCTGCTGGCGATCTGGAGACAGTACATTTACCTTCCCGTGCTATTGCTTTCATATATTCATCATCCATGCTTGCTGAGATGTGGCAGCCATCTTCAGAACACTCCACAGCTGACGGGTCCGTGGTTTGTGCTGTAGCACGCATAGCCAGCTCCGCACGTCCAACCCACTAGTTCATCGTCAGCCTTTTCCTTCCTGCCAAACGGTGTTGGTCTCGTGTCGTTGCAAACCCGTGTTGTCGAGACTAATACTTGGTTCAGGCCCTGTAATCTCGATTTTCTCTCAGTTCCAAAATGTGCGTGTCTTACGTTAAAGGGAAGAGCTGGGTTAGCATTTTGTCATGCTGCAATACTTCATGAAAACCGCGCCAGATATGATGCTTGCGGAGCATGCAGTGTTTGGAAACTCATGCAATATTCAGAGACTTGCACCGCAGGCTACACGGAGTGCATTTGCCAGTGCATTTTAAGATATAAGCAAACATGCCAGTCAAGCCAGATACATGAGTGACCAGGCTAGACCAAACCGGGACACCCAAGCCACAGAATGTTTCGTGAGATGTCTTTACAAGTTCGCCCATCGCCTCGTTCCTAATAATTGTGCACGTTAATTCCATTGGCGTGCACTCCGGCTTTGTCTTGTATAAACCGAAACGTGGGAACGTTTATCAAGAATAGCATTGTCGCAACAGTAGTTTCTTACATTTCAGTCAGCTGCCTTGTTTTAGAAAATGGAGTTGTACGACGCACCAATGTCAAGTCTTTTTTGACGATGACACATTTTTCAACAGGACTGTTGTTCATCCCAGTGTGTTAAGACTTGTGTTCATCTCCATTTTTTTTAAAAATCGTATTCATTGGCACCGGGCAAACAAGAAGTACTTCGATTGCCCATGGTGCCCACTCTTCTTGCCAGGGTGAGAGGCAAATGACGTCAGATAGCCTCAACAGCTAATACGGCAAAAAGTAGTGTCTAAAAAATGTCATATGACGCAGACACACAAGTTATCCGCAACGGCTCATCCGATCGCCTTGAAACCTTCCCCAACCGACTCCGTGTAATGGGGTGAGTCATGGGAAGGCAATGTCGAGACCCGACCTGAGGTCAAACACCATCAAAACGGGAAGAAAAAATAGTATGCGCAAATGCCGACAACTCATATATCAGAGCCTGCTGCACCGATCGCAGTGAAATTTTCACCATTGGATGCCACATGCCTGATTCCTTGCTGCAGTTTCAGATTTGGTGACCCTAGGTCGGATCAAAAGTCGTTAAATTTTGCAGTCCAAATTATTTATTGCAGACAACTTGCGGCTCAGAATCTACCACGCTGATAGCTGCCAAACCTTACCATCCAGTACGCCATTTACCCTAATTCTCTGTTGAAGCTGCAAGTATGATGCCATATTCATGGCTTTGGCTTTGTTTGTTCCCAAGAAAAGTGCGGCTTGGTTAGGCTGGCCTTATGAGGTGAATTTCTCCTTAGCGGAGGTGTTGTGCTGAAAATAATGCGCTGGATCGTGCATGGTGTTGCCACGATTAACACAACCGTAGCCGTGGAACGCGTGATGGTACGTGACTGATTACTGGGTGTGGTGTGCGAACACCGTTTTGTTATGGTTTTGTGCATGCCTCCTCAGCAGTCTTTTGTTGTGTGCTTGTTCCAAGTCGTTCAGAAGTCCGCCGAATCGAACTGAGCCTGGGCCAAAATGGGCCCGCCTTGGTCAGTGTCCTGCTGTGACAGATCAGTAACATCAGAATCCTTGGGGACAAGCTTTCCGCACTCGGTGTATGGCTTGCCACGGAGGTACCAGTCCCAGGAACAAACAGGAACAAAACCGACTGGAAAGACGCCACTCCTTTGGTCGACGTGAGCCTTGAGCTCCATCGAGCGTGCTGCGCACCGCCGTGTCAATGCTTGATTCAGCTATCACGACCGTCCCTGTCTTTGCTCACCAAAAAAGGAGACTGTATCAGCAGTCCTTGCGCCAATGCCCTTGCATTAGCACACGAAGTATGCGAAAATGTTATTGCTGTAAGGTGCACGACCGCAAAAATCAAAAATAGAAGTGCCCGCGCCTTTGGTGCCATAAAAACAATAGCGCATGGCTTCATGGCATACATTGCAGCTGCTAGAAACATCCCATCGAGTGGTGAAAGTTTGAAGATGATGGGAGCTATAGTTCCTGGATGAGCTGGCTGCAGGTAAGAATTTTTGACCTTGTGAAATTTGACGACTTTTGACCTGACCTAGGGTTACCAAATCAGAAACTGCAGCAGGGAACCAGGTATGGAGCGTCCAATGGTGAAGGTTTCACAGCGATCGCTGCAGCGGGCTCTGAGATCTGAGTTGCTTGTATTTGCATGTAAAATTTTCCGTTTACGTTTCCGAGGTGTTTAGCCTCAGGTCAGGTGTCAATATTGCCTCCTCATAGCTCACTCATTGCACGCAATTGTTTAGTGAAGGTTTCAAGGTGATCGGACGAACCGTGTCGGAGAACTTGCGTGTCTGCGTGATCTGCCGGCTTTTTAGACCATGCTCGTCCAAAGCCCCGATGTCGACGAATAGCATGACCGGGCACTATCTGCCTGGTCCGGCCACACCACGACAGGACACTATCTGCCTGGTGCGGCAACACTACGACAGGGCACGTCTGCGTGGTCCGGTCATACCACGAAAGGGCACTGTCTGGCTGGTGCGGCCACATCACGGCAGGGCACTATCTGCGTGGTCCGGCCACATCACGACAGGGCACTATCTGCGTGGTCCGGTCATACCACGACAGAGTACTATCAGCCTGGTCTGGCCACGCCACGACAGAGTACTATCAGCCTGGTCTGGCCACGCCACGACAGAGTACTATCAGCCTGGTCTGGCCACGCCACGACAGAGTATCAGCCTGGTCTGGCCACTCCACGACAGAGTACTATCAGCCTGGTCTGGCCACGCCACGACAGAGTACTATCAGCCTGGTCTGGCCACGCCACGACAGAGTACTATCAGCCTGGTCTGGCCACGCCACGACAGAGTACTATCAGCCTGGTCTGGCCACGCCACGACAGAGTACTATCAGCCTGGTCTGGCCACGCCACGACAGAGTACTATCAGCCTGGTCTGGCCACGCCACGACAGAGTACTATCAGCCTGGTCTGGCCACGCCACGACAGAGTACTATCAGCCTGGTCTGGCCACGCCACGACAGAGTACTATCAGCCTGGTCTGGCCACGCCACGACAGAGTACTATCAGCCTGGTCTGGCCACGCCACGACAGAATACTATCAGCCTGGTCTGGCCACACCACGACAGAGTACTATCAGCCTG